TAAACCAGTTGACCACAAAGAATTTGACAATCAAAGTGGGAGTATTGATTGAGCTTTTCACACTATATTTCCAAAGTGTGACTTGTCGCAGGTGAAATTGCGCTTTCTCATATTATAGGGCGGGACTATCAAGTACGTGTTTGTATATTCATTCCTTTTCTGTTATTCATTAATCGATTATTTATTCATTGCATAATGTAACTTATTTCTATATTTGTCTATTTCCTAATGACAGTATAGAATCGCAGATACACATTTTCTGCTTCTCTTTGCAAATTTAAAATCGCACTTTAATCCTAATTTGTTCTCTTGTGGCTATTGACATACTGTACATTGCCTTTGATCTACTTATGAATTGGCGCCCGGATATAACTTTCAGATATTATTATTATTGTTATAAATTTGGTATACATGTGAAGGTATGTGGAACAGCGGTAAATCGTTCAGCTTCCAATCTTGAGGCTGTGGGTTTGAGCCAGATGCTGGTCACATAACTTGTACCCTTAGACACTTTTTCTGTGTTTGTCTTTCTCCTCTCAGATGTATTAATGAGTACACTGCATGATGTGAATGATTTAAAACAAAATTAAAATATGCTGAACATCTCCATATCTAAATAACCTGGGAAATACAAACACATAGCGGCTATGGAGTTGTGGGGACTATAATCTAACAAATAACACATTTAGACAAAGTATACATATTGAGAAAGAATAGAAGAGGAGGGGCATGCCTTACAAACACATATGATTTAAATTAATGAATTTATAACAATTTTTGTTAAAAAGCAAGAAAATATGCATATTGGGAAAGGAAAGACGAGGAGGGGTATGCTTCACAAACACATACAATTTAAATAATTAAATTAAATAATTAAATTTATAATAGATTTCTAAAAAGAATGCACAATCAGAAATGGATCGATATGGACCAAACAAAATCAAATTTCAAATATCAGTAAAGTTAGTCAATTCAATTACTTCATTGTTATATTTTTCCATCATGCTCCCACCCCACAAGAGACGAAGTGAATCTCGATAAAATACAGCGCATAAGTCATGCGGATTCTAAGCCGGTGTTTGCAATGATTTGTAGGTTAGGTTGAGGAGCGATAGAAGGGGAATGACACAGATGACAGGTGAGTGTAAACACAAGCAGTCGGAATATCACGCATATTGAGAAAAAATTAGCAAGTGAGAGATATTGGATTTAGAAATGAGACACCTGGCTTAGTATATTACGTAGCTTTTTAAAATGGTAATTAAAGCAATTCAATACTGCTACTAGTAAATACTGTAAGCCTGAAGAAAAAAGAACAGGACTAGTAAATTCTAATGTAATTTTATGTATTACAAGAAAACTTATTTTATATTTTATATTATAAATTTGATACAGTCATACTTGGAGAAAAATTTTGGAAACAAATTACTGCTAGGTAATATTACAGTACTCCAGTTAACAATCTAATTAAATTATAAACATACCTAATAATTAAATATATATGATGTATAAGAATATGGAAATAAATACTGAAAAATTTACAATACCTTAAATAAATATTATAAAGAATTCAAATGATGAAATGCCCAGTAAATTGCATAGTAAAAAAATTTATACCTGTGGCATTAAATGTAAACAACATTCTTTTTATTTATATAAGAAAACATATTTTATTTTTTATACTACAAATTTTGGTATATTTTGATTTGGAGAAAATTTTAGAAAATAAATAAACTGCTGGGTAATATATGGTACTCCACTTAACAAACTAAATAAATTATAAACACACCCTAACAATTAAAAATATATAATGAATGTGGAAATAAATAAAATGAAAAAGTTAAAATATACCTTGGGAAAATATTATAAAGAATTTAAGAATGAAACACACAGTAAATTGCATAAAGTAATTTATACATTTATTAGCACCAGAGGAAAAAAAACATTCCCTTTTTAGAATTTAATTGATTATTTTAATTACAATAGTAAAAAAACTCTCAAATATTCAATTTAATTTTGGATGGATATCTATACATTAACAGCTCTTTTCTTGCATACAATTCAAAGAAGATAAATTGAAAAATCTATTCACGAATTCGGGAAACTTATGTCTAATTTGATAAAGCATGTTGCAGATAATGAAGAAAAGTGCGTTTATACAGAAGTGGAAATGATCGATGTACAAAGGGGATACAATGTTATGAAAGGTATATTTTATTGATGAGCCCAAGTGATGCATAATATTTCTATAGATTTATCATTTTGTTGAACTCAAACTATGTAACCTGTATTAAAATTATCTTGGTTTCAATTTCCTTTTCTCAAAGGAATTTTCCTTCATAAAATTTATCTTAATTAGTTGAGAAAAGAAGGAAAGAAATTTCCATCTGCTTGTATATCAGACAATAACAATTTATCATTTTTAATATCAACAGGATCTTCGTTTTCATACATTCATCATCGCCAATGCTCACTAAGAAATCCAAAATATATGTTTATTCTATGGTTCAAACAATGATAATATTTATTTGAAATTTTTCAAGAAAAAATGTTATTACTATTTGATAGTAAAGATTAAATTTCATGATTATCTACAAAGTCTAGCTTCTAGCTTTTTAGAATAACTTTAATGTATCTAGTGTGTGAATTGAACCCTGAATTAAGGTTGAGTGACACAATCAGTCCTCTGATAAATCTTACCATATCATACACATCAATAATATTAGGACTATTACTATTAAGATTATCATTATATTTAAAAAAATTATGAGTAAAGGTAAAAAAAAGCTGTTGGATATATGATTAACTACATAAAAATAAAGAGGTGCAAGCTGAAAAAAATAAGGTGATTTTTAACTATATTAAGTGTAAATTTTCAGTGGGAGGTGGGGTATCAGACTGGGATGCAAGCTTTTTTTTGCAGAATCTGGCCTCTTGTACATCCCTAAGAAAGTGCTAAACTTGGCATGTGCACCAAGGCGGTAAGTGAGCATTAAGAGAAGAATTCAGTGAACCATACATTCCACAACAGAGATTTTCTAATACATCTGCATCCACCAAGTAAACAATTCATTTAGTAAATAAAAACTATAAGGCAGCTGTAGTGGAGATACGTTTTTCTTCTTTTAATCTGAATCAACTGTGTGCCATCCAATTGAAATAATAAAGACCCCGCTGCACACTTTGTTTCTCGGAGGAGTGATTGCACCTTGGCTCTAATGAAGGGTGACACAGAATGCTGCCTTGGGGCCTTCAGTGGGATGCTTGGACAAAGAGGGCCATTCAGTGTATTGATTATACACTGAGTATTAGTTATAACCTTACATGATTATCCGATATTAATTTAATCTCAAATTCCCTAAGGAGGGTATAATCTTGAAGATTACTATTTATTTCCTACTATTTATAAAACAGTTATTATTATATGATTATTAATTTTGCTTCAATTAATATTTTTATTATTTCATTATCATTACTAGATTATAATTATTTGTATTTCTATTATTGTTATTATTATTGTTATTATTATTATTATTATATTATTATTATTATCATCAATAATGTTATTATCAATAATTTTTTTGCAATAAACAGCTGTTTAAGTGAAACACATAGTTTCCTACTATGGAAACTGACAAATGCACAGGGAAGATTACCCTTTGTTAGCTACCATCTCATGTGAGGCAAATAAAATTATGAATTATAAATTATTATAAAAAAATTTAACAAAACTATTATATTTATTATTATTATATATTATTTTTATAAAGTTTGTATATTGGAAATTAAAGAGAATATTGCAAACAGTGAAAGAGAAAGTCTGATACGGAAAACTTACAGGTGCTCCATATTGATTCTTCTTAAATATTTGTTTGAAATGATTAATATTTACTTAACTTTATTGTTTCGAGTTTATGCCAATATTGTACATGTTTAACTAACAACACTGCAAACTATTATATATCATAATTTATATGTTTTATCACAACAGAGTTTCTTGTTATGAAATTTAATCAGAGCATCGGCTGGTTTAGCAAAGTGACACAATTGAACACATGGTTAGGTTTTTGTATACTTGCGATATTGTTTTCTCTTAGGCTATACTTAGCGATCAAATTCTGTCTGCTGTTATTATTAGCAACATATAGGAACTATTCCATAAAATTATTCACTTCATGTTTTAGATACTAACAAAAAGATGGATGATTTGCTTTAAAAACCAATACAGAAAGGCTATTTTCACATAGAATCTCTCAAAACATTATCTGTATAAAAATTAAATAAAAATACACATTTTGTTTTAGAGCATATATTAATATACTCTCTTATAAAAATTCCATGACTTAAGATCGAATAATCAATTAATTATTCCTGTATTTCACAGGTCTTAAATTACCTGTAGATTAAACTTCAATATAACTTTTATCATTATAAAATGCAACTTAAAATAATTAACAAAAAGATCAAAATCATTTTCTACTACCTTTTCAAAAAATATTTCCATCATTCTGGTTCTCTTCTCCTCTAAACTTAGGCCTCTTTTCCTTGACTGTGAAAAAAACATAGAAAATAATATAATAATTGCAATCAATTTTAATATAAAATATGACAATTATAGGGTTTTTTTGTATTCATGGCCAAATGGAGCAATCTCCCGTTGCAAAGTAAAAACAAATGAATAATTTAATATAAAACTTGTAGGCCTTTTAATTGAAATTATAGTATCCATATTTTGCCAAAATCATCCCCATCCACTTCCATCTCCTTCCTTTCCTCCCACTAACCAGAATTGGAATCGTTGCCACAAGATTAATATGTATGAGTTTGACTATACAATCAATATGACTGAAAAAATACTTGATAGAAATTTGTATTACAGAGCACACCCTTATACTGTATATAAATTTTGGAAATTATACTTTTAATGTAACATTTTGTAAATATTTTAATGGATTTACTAGTATATATCCATCTTTCTTGCCACAATCACATCTACCCACCTCCACCTCGCTCTTCTTCTCTTCCCTTCTCACTGACCACCAATGGAATTGTTGCCATAATATTATGAGTATAAAAAATTAATATTAGTAAAGGAATAATTAATGGAAATTTATATTATGCACAACTTTACATCCAAATTTAGGAAATTATAATGTTATCAATGTAATATTTCGTAAATATTTTCAATGGATTTATTAGTATGTTAAGTAAATTTTATCATATTTATGTTGAAAACTCATCCGGATTTAAATATTTTCATTTGCGCTTTGCCTACCTTCCTTCAAAATGTCTTAAATGTTTAGTTAAGATTTTCATTGCCTATTTGACCTTCTGAATGCAACTTGTGTTTGTTGTATGTGTACATAATACATGGGAGATTTTTTTATCTGCTATTGGAGATTCACCATTTTCTTTATATAAACAGATGAATTAGAAGAGAATGCATTATGGAATGGATAAAAATGTTGTACAAGTTAAAAAAATAAAAATGAAGGGAATAACTAAATGCAAAAATGACTTTAATGTTCTAAAATTTTGACAGTAAATCATAACGACACCAAAAACCATCCAATGAGAACAACATACAGTATATCATTTCAGTTTCTAATGAGAATTTCTCACTGAATTCTCTCTCTAAAAAAAAAAAAACCCTGGGAATTTCATTGCTAGCTTCGTTCCCTGGGGAATCTGAGAACATCCAAGGGGAAAACTAGCACCTTTCGGGTTTAATAATCACCGCTTCACATCTACGGCAGCTTGATCTGATGCACTGGAATCAATGCGAGTCAACGAGGTTGAATGGCGAGGAAGCCTGGGAACAAGCTCTCTGAGTAAACAGGGCGTGAAAGAACGCACTGCCTCCACTAGTCCATTGATTTTCAGCCTTTAGTGTTGCAAGTTTTCATTACCATTTAGGCACTCGGTGTTAAGCACCTGTGAAATGTGCTATTGGAAAATTGAGTTGAGCAGAACAATGAACAAAGTTATCCTAACCATATGAAAAACAAGTATTTATTTAGTAACAGAGGCTGCAAAGGTAAAAACAGTAGACTGTTGACTTTGTAGACATTGTTACAAAAATATCAACGTTCTCGAAAGACCACAAGTAATTCTAACTGCAGGTAAGCTTTTAACTTTGCGGTACGCTTTAGGAAAATGAAATAAATCTCCATTGTTTATAAAAATCAATTTAATCCAGTTTTAAAGCTCACAGAATAACAAAAAATCTGAAGCTTGAAGAGCTGATCTGCTGTTATGAATAGATGGAATTTAAAGTGCATATTGATTTTTATTTGTATTTTTACAGCTAGTATTAACAGTATCACTTTAAAAGATTAAGTGTATGTAGTTGATTCATATTTAGAAAGGGAACAATGACTACATATTGGCCCTGCCCACTTTTACTTTTGCATGTTATATAACAACTTTTAATGGTCTGTTGAATAGTTGGCTACTGCAACTTTCTTCACTTTGAAAGTGAAAACAGAAACGCGAACAAATATCTAGACTGTGATAAAGCTATTTGTTTCATGAAGATACTGTCTGTGATCTCTAGTCAGGAAATTGAAACTCTGTACATTATATTCAAATATCCAAATAATGAATAAGAACTTAGATCATTATGTAGAGTCAGTATGTGGAGTCAACAACCGAATTAGCGGTACATCCTAGGGGCATGCAGATGGGACCTTCTCTTACTCTTACTCTTACAAATAACATATGAGCATCATTATATCCACACATTCAAATGCCGGCAGAGGTGTTCGGTTAACGCATCACGCTCCCCGGAGAACCATGAAAGTGTTGCCTCCAAGATTGAAAATGAAGCACACTGATTTTAGATCTTATTATATCTCAGATATTCCCACGTGCACCCGACCGTGCACTGTCCTACCGGATGATTCAAATATTATTCGGGATTATATCCTATTCAATTACAATTTATGAAGATTCTAACGTTCGCATAATCAACAAATAATGAAGGTTGCTGAATTAGATTTTAGCGGTTGATTGATTCATTTCTATCCCAGCTAACAGAGTGTGCTATGGTAATGAGGAAGAAAAAAAGCACGGAATAGGACAGAACGGCAAGAAACAAATTAATCGACATGAATACAATTATCATGTTCACGAACTGAAGACAATCTTAACAATCCTGGATGTAATCTAATATTGCATAACTCTCTCATCACCCATTATAACACTTTCTTAATTATCATTATGCGTGAATGATTTACCTCAGGGATTTTGATTCATTTTTCAAGGCTGGGAGGTGGATTAAAAAAAAATCTTGACTAGATAATAAATGTTGTCTGATCCATAAATAAAGATGATTAAAGTTTACTAACTATTATTTCAATACTGTATTACGATGAATCTTTTTAATTACATAAACAGATAGTAAGAAACAGGTGAACAGGTACTGTAGATAAATACTGTTCAAGTCATGTAAAGATGGTACATGTACAGGTATATGGTAACAGGTAGGAGTCACTTTTTTTCTTGAGAATATATTTCCCATTTACTGTTGTAAGAAATAAGCACGCTTATCACACAGATTAACAAACTGTTATAAGTAATATTTTAAAGCACATCCATGTTAAAGAAATTCTTGAGGTACTTGAGAATAAAAATTAATTTTAAAAACACAAATAATTGTCTAAAAAAATAAAAATAAAAATTCTTCTACAAAAACAATAATAATGTTACAACACTACCACCTAGTACCCATTAAATCAAACTGTAGAAGTTAAAACCCTTTGCCCAAACACCAATAAGTGGCCAGCTTTTAGATTTGAACCCACGATCTTTTAATTGGAGGCACAAATCCCAACCACTGCACCACACACACTTCAAGTACACTATAGTTTTCACAAATTGTTTTGAGTTACACTGGAAAAATAAAACGGAAATACTAGTAGAATCTAACAAATATGTGTTTCCAATTTGTAACAGGCAACATATCATCGGCTCACAATTGTAAATATATATACAAGGCCAATTCAATTCTAATTCAGCCATGCCAAAATAATAGGTTGTTTATTCTAAAAATTAGGAGACAATATGCTGACACATAAACGCACATGCTAAACTGCATTTACATAAAGCGGTTCAAAAACCTGGTCCCCACAAGTATTTTCAATAGGAAACCATAGTGTGGTTAATGAATCAGTCTGGCGTAAGCTTCACTCTCATATATCAACATCACCATTTTCATAAGATAACTACAATCTATAGATGCAGGTTGAAAATTTAAACATCATCATGCTGTGCATCTTTTGGTTGGCTGTGATATTGTTTGCAGCCTAAACTTACATCTAGATTATGACACTTGTATAAGTAGACACATGTATACTGCATAATTCCCTTTTCAATCAAAAGGCAATTTTTAGCACTGACATGCCTAATTCAAAGCCAATGATGATTTTTTTTTTATATTTATAAAAGTTTACTCATTCAAATCATGCCCTGGGCTTTTTCTTGAGAAAAGGCTGGTATATAAAATTAGGTGTAAGGTTAGGGTGGGCTTATGCTCGAAGTGGGTTTATACTCAAGGAACTGCTCAGTATTTTCCCGAAGCCGTTTTAGCCATCAATTTTACCGGTAAAAATAACCGGCCAACCAGTAAAAATTTAAGAGTTTGTAAAATTTTAAAAACTACTGAATAGGCCTAGGTAAAAATTTATAACAATAAAATCTACTTTGTTTTAATAGAGCATTACAAAAGTGCTTCAAGATTATCATCAACATTATTATTATTATTATTGTTGCCAATATTATCAATTATTCTATGGTTTATACTGTATAATTTGTATATAGTATAATTATTATTAAATATATGCATTCACTACATAAGTGAGATTTCACCACAAAATGAGTCACATGGTTGAAAAATCAAAAATTGAGTTTTAGCATATAGATGACAAGCATTATGTAGTATGGTCTTTGAATGGCTTTCCAAGTGTAAATAGATCTAGAGATGTGAGCATTTGAAGCCAATTGTATAAGAACCTGGAAGAAAAGAAAATTATATTCAACAAATTAAGTCTGACAATGGCATTTCCGTCCATTCTGATGTGCCACATAGCCATAAAATTTTGTACCTCAGCCCCAAAAATGATAGGGAAATCTTTTCCTAGTCCTCTCTAATTCTAACTTAAATTCATGGATCCACCGCTGCTATTACTATCATCATTATATTAATATAATTATAATGATTATCATTTATTACTATTAAGTATTATCATCATTATTATTATTATTATTATACATTATCATTATTATCAGTAGCACTTATTATTATTTACATATTTAAGTAAACCATGTTGTCATTGAACAATCTTGTAATCATTTATTATGTGTTTCAAATACAAAGGAAAAATTGCATTTGATCCACATTATTTTCTTTGGCATTCACATTTTATTCTCAGACACAAAAGGAAGAATTTCTTCATACTTATTTCATCTTTCTTTTACAGACTTAAGTTATTGCTTCATTTTTGTTATAACATCAAACATTCTCTACACATCAACTCTTTTCCAAATTCCACTTGACAGTGGTTCACACAAAATTAACTATAATTTATCTTTTTTTTTTTCAAAATATTATTTTTAATAAAGAATAATACTGTGGTATGCACACTCCATTTCCTCAAATTTTTTCCAAGTAGTAATAAAATGTATTTTCAGCAGCTTCCTTTGAATCACTGATAACACAATTATTTTTTGCATTGATCGTAAACCGAAAATAAATTGAGAAATGGTTTAAAAAGAGAAGCAGGCAATCAGAACAGCAGAATCCGGCGGCAGAGACTGTCAGGTAAATGAAAACAAATGTGGTTTGGTTGCCTACTGTAGATAAAGAACAAGATAAGTATAATTGTTCCAGAATGCCAAAAACAACTTGACATAGTATTCTGCATAGCTTTACTTCAGATAAATTATCAGGATCATTAAAATCGTGATCATTAAAATCGAACTCCTTTCCAGCCAACATCACTAAATATAAGTATATACTAAAAACTCGAAAAGCTAGGTCATAGGTGAATGTCAATGCTTATTCCAATATTTATTTACAAAAAAATTCTGCATTCATCATAACATCTGATCTTAATACCATTTTATACACATGCGCAGATCGATTCGCCAGCAGCGAGTCATCGCCAGCAGCAGCGAGTCGCCAGCAGAGAGATGTCACTGCAGCAAAACACTATTGTACACGGTACCAACGCTGTTCTAATATAGACAATGGGTCGTGCTCATGTTATTTGTTATATTTTTATTATTCATTATTTTCACTTGACTCGCATAAATAATTTTGTTCGAAGAACATTTTATGCAGTTGTACTTCGCAGCACTTCACTTGCAATTTGCAATTTCTAGTAATAATATAATTATAATGATTATCATTTATTACTATTAAGTATTATCATTATTATTATTATCATACATTATCATTATTATCAGCAGCACTTATCATTATTATTTACATATTTAAGTAAACCATGTTGTCATTGAACAATCTTGTAATCATTTATTATGTGTTTCAGATACAAAGGAAAAATTGCATTTGATCCACATTATTTTCTTTGGCATTCGCATTTTATTCTCAGACACAAAAGGAAGAATTTCTTCATACTTATTTCATCTTTCTTTTACAGACTTAAGGTATTGCTTCATTTTTGTTATAACATCAAACATTCTCTACATATCAACTCTTTTCAAAATTCCACTTGACAGTGGTTCACACAATATTAACTAATCTATCTTTTTTTTTTCAAATATTATTTTTAATAAAGAATAATACTGTGGTATGCACATTCCATTTCCTCAAATTTTTTCCAAGTAGTAATAAAATGTATTTTCAGCAGCTTCCTTTGAATCACTGATAACACAATTATTTTTTGCATTGATCGTAAACCGAAAATAAATTGAGAAATGGTTTAAAAAGAGAAGCAGGCAATCAGAACAGCAGAATCCGGCGGCAGAGACTGTCAGGTAAATGAAAACAAATGTGGTTTGGTTGCCTACTGTAGATAAAGAACAAGATAAGTATAATTGTTCCGGAATGCCAAAAACAACTTGACATAGTATTCTGCATAGCTTTACTTCAGATAAATTATCAGGATCATTAAAATCGTGATCATTAAAATCAAACTCCTTTCCAGCCAACATCACTAAATATAAGTATATACTAAAAACTCACGACCTCGAAAAGCTAGGTTGTAGGTGAATGTCAATGCTTATTTCAATATTTATTTACAAAAAAATTCTGCAATCATCATAACATCTGATCTTAAAATATTTTATTCAGTATGAATTTGAGCACTGAATACCTATAAGATATATTATTTTGTTGAGGGTTCTTAAGCAATGTAGCTGTGAGTTCTTGGTTAATAGTATAAGAAATTTCAATTCTGGGGAGAAGCTTTCGAGTAATGACACACAAATTAAGAATGACATATCACTTGTTAAAATTAGAATGCAAAAAAAAAAAAAAATATTTAATGCCTTCTAGTGAAAGTATTTTGGTCAGGGGAAAATAGTAAATGAATTAATGAGATATAAAAACTTGAGGATGAATGTATTCAGGAATTTATAGTCTATGCCAACAAATAAATAAGGCATGTTACCTTAGGTAGGGAAATATATTTCATTAGTTGAGGTATTTATTTTATATGAATGACTGACAGGCCTGCAAAAACCATGGTTAAATAACTTCCACATGATAAATAATTCAACCATATGCAAGGAAGTTGTCGTGTTTTTTTGTTAATTGCTTGGCTTAGAATAAAAAGTTAAAGTGAATCTGTACTAACAGTAGACTCCGATCCTGAAACTCATTCATGCATGCAATGACAGTGATTCTACTCATGAATATTCAGTCTTCCTCATATTAATATGCATGGGTTATCACTTTCATAGCCTGCACAGTACACATGTGCTTCACTGAGTGAACAGAAGCGTTACATTCGTGTGAACAAGTACACAGGTTGGTAGCGTCAATAAGTTCAGATCAGATTTTGTTATTCACAAAGCAGGAGCTAAATACAGAGATTAGTCGAGAGAAATCTACAGGTACGGAGAAACCTTAACTACTTTCAAACAAAGGACTTAATTTTATTACTGGTAGAGATAGCTTTTTTTAAAAATACCTTCAAGTGATTTTTCCTGTTGGTGTTTTTTGTTAGCAAGTTAATGTGTACGCTACTATTGCCAAGAGAATTGGATCTCTTGATGACATTTTCATGGATATTGGCAACTAAATAATTAAAATACTACTATTGATACTGTGCATGAATGGACTTTACAATGAATTACAGTCACAGAGGTAAGTGGAAATATAAAATTGAGGAAGTAATCGTGGCAAAGACAAGCCAAACCAGTCACTCGTCACAAATCCTATTTCGGAGATATTGCCAATACATGCTGGAATATCAACATTTTTGAAATCTATTTTATTGCACTAAACTAACCTTTACCATATCTATATATCATGCTATGCTGCTTTTTTCCCCATTTTCAATGTTAAAACAACAATTTTTAATGATTTGCAGATGGTTTCTGCCTGAGAAATGCCCGAAATCATAAACTTTGAAGGCTGATTTTTCAAATACTGTTCCTTAAACAGCTGAATATTTAAACTCCTGTGACTTCATAATGAAATGTCGGATTTAAATTATTCTTGTACCATATAGCTCTCATTTTACTGTTAAACATTGTATTAATAACTAAAATTGGTTTTTGCGACAAGTGACTGGTTTGGCTTGTCTATGCCACAATTGAAAGGTTTAAATAGTAAGAAAAGTTCAATGAGTGACAAAGAGATAAAAAAAAAAACGACAGAGTAATCTAGCTTTTCAATTATAAATGATCATTGCTACAACAAATTTTAAAAGCAATGCCAGAAAAAGTAATATATCTGTATTTCTGATGAATACTTATTGTATTTAAAATGTAGAAACAATATTTAGGCCTGTTACATTCAGGTGTTATTTACTTAGGAGCTGTAACTGATTGAAATCAAACTGCAAACTGGACATTATAAAATTGATTATTAATTATAGCTTTATTATTACCAATATAATATCATTATTAATTATCAGATTTAATTATCTTTGTTAAATATTAATAGAAGCTACTAAAAATTTCCTTCTTTTCTGAATCATAATACAAGAGCAAATATGTTTAATTACTGTTGAAAATGAGTTACTATACAAGCCCCAAGCATTAATGAATTTGAAATTGTTTTCCAACATCAATGAAATGACCAATCAGATATACTAAGTTGTTTCCTTTAACATTATTGGATATAAACTGAACTGATCTGGTCTGGGAGTGCCTTTTTTTGGCACTTATAGGTGAATTAACCTTAACTTAAATTTTGTTCACCTTTGACCTAATCAAGGTGGGTCTAAGATGGGTGTGGTCTAAGATGGGTGTAGCCCATCTGTTGAATGATGGCCCATTTTTCGGGGGAAATGCTGATGCCACCGCTGTTGTAACAGCATACACAAATATTCAGGATGTGGATCTGGATGGATACTCGTTGATTATCAGGATATTTGTATTTATGCTGGATAACTTCAGGCATTTTTTATTGTGATAGTAAAAAAAAAAAAATAATGACAGCAAAGAGAAACAGGTTTTTAAAATGATTTGGCCAACATGCCTTCATTTTCAACATTCATCGATATTCAGGATGCATCTGGATTGATCATTCCTTTTCCGTGATGACCATGACGATGAATAACTTGTAGGTTTATGTAACAGCCCCATCGATATGCAGAGGATGGGTTGGATTTCCATGCTCCAACATGACAACTACAACAAATAACTTCTGGATTTTTCTGATCATTAGATACATTAAATAATTAGCGAGCATATCATAAACATTTATCATAAGTTACTTCTATGCATTGCATGAATGTACACTAAGGGTTGAATAGTAATTCTCCAAAAATCAGAATCTATATGAAGATTTTCTTCTTGGCTATTAACATTGAGTTATGTTGCGGTGAATATTTTGCCGTATTAACATCTATATCAATATTGACGCTTGACAGAAGCACTAGTTTCTGCACGTGGTGCTTGCACTCGCCAATTATTTGATGGAAACTCATCCGTCTAGGAACAGGAACTGACATAAACCTTGGGTAATAGCTATAGAAATTCATTTGCCTAGGGGACAAAAATTACTACTGGATATAACTAGTACCTTCAAAAATTATTTATTGGAAACTTCTGTATAGAAAAAAAAGTGATGCTGGCCTACTAAAAAGGATATTGGAATGGTAGTTGTAGCTAGTTGTTTAAGATGTTTCCTTTACAATTCCGAAGTCATAGGTCCAAATCCTATGGGTGGAATTGTTGTTTTCTCATAAAATTACTTTCCTTTTGGATATAAAATAAATCAGACAAATAGCTAGAAAATCCAACTACAAATAATTTATGAAAACTTATTTAAAAAATGAGGTTTATTATATGCCTGGAGTACAACAGCCTACTAATATTACTACAGTATGAAATTCATCTCTCTAGCACTAAACCACTTGACTACAGTAAATGAAAAGCACAAATCTATCAGCGTAAAAAAAAACAAAAACTGACCAATGCTAATTTAAAGAAAAAATGTTTCTGATTTCCTCCAAAATCTATTTTTAAAATTTACATTCACAAGTGGAACCCTACATAATCCGCCAAAATTTAGTCATAAATGCTGCATCTTTTTTCCCGAAATCTAAAATATTATCTGTCCAAATTTTGCTGTTCTGTATTTGATTTTATATACATGGTACTTAAAAAAAATAATTTAAAAATATAGCTTTTCCTAAAATAAAATGTTGCCTAGAACCTGGAAATAGTAATACAGATCAGCTTTGAAAAAATTGACTATATATATTTCTGTAAATAGCTACAGAAATGTATCTACTTCAAAAATTGCAAATGCAGAACCATGTACTAAAAAACCTATAGAAATTCATATACAAAGGGGAAAGATGAAAAAATTGTAAAAATAAATAATGGTTTTAAATTTAGATTGTAGTACAGTATATCTAATTACACTTGGAAGATTTATGGATACAATTAATCTAAAGTAATGAAATGATGTTGAAATTTACACTACATAGATATAATGGGGATACGGTTGGTATGAACACTAAAATTGCTTCTCACAAATAATGGAAAGTATTAATGAAATGTGTATGAAATATTTCCATTGTCAATAATAATACCTACTCGATACAATTAAACATATGGAGTCATAAACATTAAAATTGATGAGTAACTTGTTAATTATGGGTTGATGATGATGAGGATACTCTATCAAGTAACTGTCATTGTACAGTATAGGAGGCTGAAAAAAGGAGATATTTTTAGTTGTAGGATTTTATGTGAATGCGCACTTTAAGTATGTTGTAACAGCATACACAAATATTCAGGATGTGGATCTGGATGGATACTCATTGATTATCAGGATATTTGTATTTATGCTGGATAACTATGGGTTGATGATGATGAGGATGCTCTATCAAGTAACAGTCATTGTACATTATATGAGGCTGAGTAAAGGAGTTATTTTTAGTTGTAAGATTTTATGTGAATGTGCACTTTAAGCCTAACACAAACACTTGCTTGCTTAGACCAGACAATTACTTAAAGGTTAAAAATAAAATTGTTCATATTCAGAAAAAAAAAATTGTAAATGTTACACAAGATATTAAAGTTGGAGGACACAAAAGACCTTCATTTTCAGAGAAGTAGCAATTAAAATACATTTAAAAAGATAGAAACAATTTTTTTTAAATAGAGTTAATTTTATGGATGAAATGAAATGTTTACATTCAAAGAATGATTTTTTGAAGATCTTAACCTATATATATATATACTGTATATATATACG